TGAACTCTTGAAAAAGGTGGAGGTTGCAGGATGGCGGGGTTTTCTGTCAAGGGCATGTTTATACTTGGAAATAGGTCAGGGATGCTCGTGTGTGAATGAGAGTTCCTTCCCTATTCTGCTTTATCCGCTTCTAAAAGGTGGATAAATCTGAGTGTTTCCTGAACTGTAAAGTTCTAGTTCAAACAGACCAACAAACAAAAAAGCTGATGTGTTCCAAGTTGGCATTAATCTCTGTTTGCCTGAGTTAGTCCATGTCTTGTGGGACCTGTGGTTCAGGGCTGGTAACCCCTGCAGTGCAGCCTCTACCCTGGTCAAACAGCTGTGGTGCATCAGCCTCATATTCTGTTTTGTGCTGATTTCCCTTGATCAAAAGTTTTTCTGAAAGCTACTGGTTCCTACAGAAAGCTTTCAGAATTTGTCAAAACTGTTTTACGACAAGGAAATGTTTCCCTTAAACTTTTTGGCCAATGCTATTTTCAGGATGGCAGAGACAGTACAACAGATCCGTTAGGGGAAACACTGAACCAGAAAAAGTGTTTAAATTACAGTGGTGACTTTTTTTACATGTAGCTTTCCCCAGTTTAAAGCTCATGTGTGAACTAATGATTAATCACAGATGCAAAACAGACTTTGTGCTTTGACAGCACCTTTCCCAAAGGATGTTCTCAAAGCAGTCTGTACAGAACGAATTCCCTCATAATTACCCCACATATTTTGCAGATGAGATTGCTGAGGTGCAAAAACACCACTCGAGACTATGCAGAAGCCTATGGCAAGGATAAAACCCAGGTTTCCTGAATGTCAGATTTGTCTGAAGGTTCCTTCTCTTTGCTGGTTGCAGCAAAAGAGAGTAAGTTTGAAGGCAGAGCACAAAAAGAAAGAATAAATTCTAAGATACAGCTTTCATATCTTTATGCTCCTCAGACACTCTTCACACTTAGGGGTGTAACCATTTTGTGACTAAACTTGCAGCACAGCTATAAAAGCTTGGGGCTAACCAAGGCTAATTTTAAATCATCCCTCATTATCTCTGTCATTTGTAGGGTAAGTTTTAGAAGCTGATATTTGTATTTGATAGAAGGAGCCGATACAGCTCTGTTGTCAACAACTAGCTTGGCCAAAATCAATTCATCATTATAATTACCTGCCTCAGGACTCCTTTTTGACTTGCGTTGCCTTTCGGGCTAATGAGATGCGTTACCTCAGCACAGCTTTATAACATGCCTGCTGTTGATTTACTGTTGCTTGAGGCTAGACAATTCCTACCTGACAGCAGCTCCTAAGCTTTGCCTGCAAAACTTGTACGGCAGCCAAACCACACATTCGCACAAAGAAAACAGGCAAACGTGCACAGAAATGGATAGGATAAAACTGTTGCTTGGTCCTGCTTATAATGGTGTCTAGAGGACGTGGTCTTCTCTAGCTACTGCTATGGGAAGGGAGAAGGCTTACGTATAGGACGGCAGCATAGCAAAACCTTTCAACGTCCTTAAAACTGCCAAAATGTACAGCTTGCTGACCAGCCGTTTCTGCTCCTATAGTAAGGCAGAGTGGCTCACTTAAGCCATTGGGGCAGGTGTCACAAGTCTGAGAAAAGAGATTCATCATTTTGGAAGTCAAAGCAAAGATTCCCAAAATCAAATCTTCAAGATTTCCGGCTTTCCTTAATACTAAGGATTGTTTTACTGATCCCTAGAGGAGGAGGATTTGGAAGACAGACAGTTTCCTCAGACAAAGGAGACAAGTGCTAAAGTGCTTCCCCTTAATTAGGCTTTTCTTTCACAAAGGCATTAGCAGATAGTTGCAGCTGTAGCAGTAAAAATCAGTTTTTGCAATGTTAGGATGATGAAGAATGGAGTATGTTTTACCTCAGACTCTACCCTGATAGAAAACCCTATAGTTCTCTCTTGTCTATCATGGTTTCAATCCCAAAGGGCTCTTTTTAGTGTAGAACTGAACACTTCCAAGGGACTAGAGACATGTCTGCCTCTGATCCAGCAGGGCTCTGCCATGAGGTTTGCCATCCAGCAAGCCTTCCGCTAATACACAGTGAATATTGAGTCTCAGGACTCTTAAGCTAAATAAATTTAAAGTCAGGATTAAAGCGATCCTATCCTAAGTAACAAGAATTGGTTAGTGCTAAGCAGGTTGGTAGCTACTTTGCTGAGGGTAAAATGCTTTGTAAATGTGCGAGTTTAGTTTATTCTACAGTTGGCAGCATAGCCATTTGTTTTTATGCAGCATAGCTGACCTTTCATAGGTTGCACGGAATTAAATGAAACAAGTTATAAGTGAGCCAAATAAATGGTCTTAATTTTCTAAAGAAGGTGACTTGAATTCAGAAAAATGCATATTCAAACTTGCTGAAAAATTTCTAGGCAGAAACTTAGAGAAAACAGGTGCTTTCATGCCTCTGATTTTTGCATCTCATCAAGAAGTTTGCGCTTAACTGAAATCTTTGTTTTAATTTTCTCAGTGTATCTAGGGTTTTAACACAGTCCCTGTAGCAACCAGGTTTATGCAGAATGTCCTATTAATTTCAGTAGAGGTGGGGAGAGGGAGAAGAGACTTTTCATGCAGCTGGAGAATTTTTTCCTTTCAGGCTTACGCTGTGCAGAGTACACACACCCTTGCATTATGGTAAGTAAACTATGCTAATGGTCACGTAATAGGCAGGTCAGGTCCTAAAATTAAAGTACATAGCACTTATTCCGAGCTAGTATCTTGGGATTCCCAACAGACTTCAGTGCGGCTCTGCAGTACGGTGCATCTCCTGTGGCCCAAGCTGGCTAGCTGAGGCATCTCTGCATAGCACTGTAATGTTTCATGCAGACATACACTGAAATGTGATCTCTTCTGTGCTGTCACGTCAATAGGCTATTTACCAGGTGTTCACTAACTACCTTGGAGGATATCTAAATGCTACTGTGGATAGGTAAACTGTACTGCCCCGAAAAAGATTTCACTATATCTAGTCTACAGAGAAAGGAGAAAAGGAGAGAAAAGATGTGAGATTTCTTAAGAAAACTCACATAATTGCTCCAACAAAGATCCTATCTCTACCTGTGCAGCAAGTGCAATTTTCTCATTTTATCTTCCTGCACACCCTACAAAGCATAATTGTGGAAAAGCTGAGCAAACAAGCCTCTCTAACTTGACTTGGAATGATTTCACAGATCTTTTCCTCTTGCTCAGAAGGAAAAAAATCCATTTATTCTTATCAAGGAAAATGAAATTATAGCAAGGAAATAAAAGCATCAGAAGACATCTTCCAAAGGCCTGATATTAAAAAGGCTGAGTTGGGGGTGAGGCAGGGGGAAAAACACGGAACAGACTGTCTTTCCAATCTAAATTAGGAGATGAAAGTTTAAACCAGTCAGGAACCTCCTGACAGAGACGACATCTGCTCACATAAACTGGATATAATGCTATGCTTTAAGCTCTAAAGGTAAGGAGGATGCTAATAGCTGGAGCTGTTGAGCTGGGAATGGAGGGACTGTAGGAACTTCTTCTTGGCTTGGCAATAAGGGGTCTGGAAGGCCGGGAGAATCTCCTTTCTCCCTCAGGTACCTTCCCTAACCCTTTTCAGCCACGAAGGCACTGTGTGCCACCAGGGTGCCTGGCACGTACTCTGTGAAGGTAAAATTGAGGGAGTGATAGGAGATGGGGAGAGCCTGAGAGGGACAGCAGGATAAGGGGGGACCCACGTAACGCAACATCTCTCACTGGAGCTTTGGGAGCTCTCAGCTGCTGCAACAATGGCTGCACTATGGAGCTGTTGCAGCTCCCACTTTCCATCAAGAAATTTAGCTGTAGATAAAAATCAAGTGCACTCTCATAAACTTTAGGTTTGGTATTAAAACATCCCTCATTATAACCATCCTCTTGCTCCCTCACTCTTCCAAGTATGGCCCTTGTCTCGTCAATCACTGCTTTCTCTTAGTAGTTTAGACCCATCGGGACTTCTGCAGCAAGGCAGTACATCATTTTTAATTAAACAAAAATTACTTGGGCAGATGATGTAACTGTTCATTAATTTGTGGGAGAGTTATATCTTACCGCAGCAGCTCTCTTTTGAGCGTATAATGCAGGAGTGCCATAGGCCAGATGTGCTTCAGCCTCCCTAGGGAGCCTGTGAGGACACAAGATCACATACTTCCCCTCACCTTTAGGAGCTGCAATAGCACAGCTCCAAAATGCTCTACTGTGTATCTCAGCTGTGAATTAAGCAAGCTGTTAAGAACTGGGCCTTTCTTTTCCTCTCACAGCAGTAAAGTTAATCCTGTAACTTTATGTAGTTAAGTTACAGGAAGGATAAATATATATATATACACACACACACCACAGGCTATCACTAGACATTAACCATTTCATTGGTGGTCAGCACAAGTAATCTGCTTTGGAGCTATGACATGAAAGCAAATGCACGCACCTTGTTAGTCAAAGCTGGACCGTCAATACATCTCTGCATGGAGGGTGGCACCTGGTAAATATCTTGTCCCACTAGACCGTGACCAGTGGGTATTTGGTAAATTCCCTGATTCAGATGGGAAGGTGGCACTTGGTAGACAGGGTCCCGTGCTGAGGCATGTGAGCTTGGCACTTGGTAGATCTTTTGCTGGTTGAAGGATTGATGCATCAATCCTGAATTGGACATATCCTGGCCAGGACTGTCCTGTACCACTGGACCTATCAGGAGTTTCACACGGTTGCCTGGAACGATGCCTTGCCGGCCATGTAAGGAGCAGAGCCACCATCCTTCAAGACCTTCGGTGTTCTGTTCTATCACTGTCAAAATGTCTCCTTTGCGGAAGGCCAACTCTTCTGCGCATTCAGGGACATTATCGTACAGGGCTCTTGCCATAAGATTCTGTGGAGAAAGAAGGGCAAGAAAAACAAATGAACAAACAAGCTAGAATTTTTCTAAAACTCCAAGCACATTCTAGGGGGAGAGAAATAAGAACTGAATTTGAAAAAGAAGTGTGCAGGAAATCAAAATAACACAGAAAATAATGCAGCACAGAATTCCTCTGTCCCAGTTTAGAGAAATGAGAGGCTTATGCATTAGCAATACTGCTAGTGAGAACTTTTCCAGTAACACTAGGTCAGATAGAAGCTCTTTATATGGTCTGTTCACCTGGACAGAAGTCAGGAGAGTTCTGCTCTTGGCATTGAGATTCTCTTCCTGTGACTGGGGGCTTGTACCTTCATCTCTTGACATTGATTTCCCCATTAATATGCTCTGTGTACTGCCACAGCTAGCCAGCTGATATTTAAAATAAAACTTGAACGAGACTCTCAGGGACATAATCCAGAGCAGTTGTTTCCAAACACTTTTACATTTGCAGGGTCCCAAAAGACTTTCCAGTAGAGGTGCAGATCCCATTAGTGTAAAGACAGCGGGCTGGCTTTTCTTAGCTGCCACCTGCAGGCTCCTTAATGTCAGGGATCTGTAGACCACCTTGTGAGGAAAAACCAGCCTAAAATACAAATTGACAAAATGTCATAGTTTTTGAACTGCAATGCTCATGTCGGTATGTAGCTCTGTGCCTTCTCATTCTTTCCGTAAACTTCCTTGGTGGCACAGTGCAGCATAGTACTAGCTTAATAGGTAAAAAGCTTCCTTCCCCCCTCGCTGACTCAAAACCACCACCACCAAAAAAACCCAACCTCAAAGGACAAGGTTCCTCAGAGTCCCACTCTAGAAAGATCTAGAAGAGAACATTATTTAAAAAATGTCTGGTGACTCCAGAGGAGTCATGCCTTTGCCACTGGGAAAGCTGTACCAATCTATGTGGGCCTGTCTTTATGTCAAAGAGCGCAAGAATTTAGGTACCAAACACTACCATAAAGTGCATCTATGTGTAACTTGGGAGGAGTCTAAGGGCAGCCAAGGAGTGTCTTTGACCTGTGTCAACATAGTTTAAGCATACTTATATGCATTTTGCTTGATGATGTCAAGTGGAGCAGTAATGTTGGTATAGGAAACTTCACACAGGTCTACCCCCAAGTATTTGCCTAGTGTTTCAGGCAGGCTTTGCAGCTTGCCCTGACCTCCGTTTTGTTGTGGCTATGCTACCAGCAGTACCTCTGCTAAGAAGTGTTAAGCCAACTCTGAGTTGATGTAAGATTGTGGTCTGTGAGGTACAGATGTGTTACTAACAAGCGCCATCTCCTCTCATGGATTGAATCAGCTCCCTTCCCTCTTTCTTGGCAGGCCTGTATGGCACATCCAGTTCTGAATAATTGACCAAGCTTAGGTATTCGATGGAAAGTAGGCAGGCTGTCTGTACTGACATTCTTGGACCCCTCACAAAGGCCGTCAACACTTAATTTCTTGGCTCTGGTGGTGTTTCCAAATGCGTTGGCAACAACTGCTCCATGCCTGCCTGCTTTTCGTTGAAGGAGGTCAGCAGAGATGGTTATAAAGTAATTGTAAGCACTTGAAAAAATATAGGGAGCCCTGGATCTGGAGTATTCTAGCTAAAGTATTTGGATGCAGTACACACACTGAAATGGTGCTAATCCACTGTAAGATAGGATATGCAGCTGCCTTGAAGATTTATCTTCCCTCTCTTAAAGGGACAGTGTCAAGTACAGTTTAGTGGTTTTATCTGTCATATTTATCCTCCTTCTTGGATATAACAAAACTTTTTTTTTATCCCCCACTTGTTATATCTTGTCCCATTGACACACACTGATTTCTTTTTTTTTTTCCCATCATCTCTGTGCTTCATCAAGACAGCAGAGTTCCATTTGACCTTGCTCAGTTCAACTTTTAAGTGTAGCATACGCCAAGAGGTTGTATGAAGGACTGACTGGTGGATGGAGAAAGGGGAAGCTCAGATATCACATAAAAGGTAGATGAATATGCTTTTTCCAAGATGTGGTGTTGAAACAGGGTACGCGAGATCAGTTTTCTCTTCTCTGAATGGGGGATCAGCTTTCAAATGCATGAGAAACACTGGCTTTGCCTTTCATCAGCACCATTAGTGAGGTCAGTATAAATTAAGCTTTGGCTTGGAAAAGCAGGACTGCCATTTTGAACTCCCATGTAAACAGCAGCACTGGGGCCCACTATTCTCTCTGATGTACGCCTACTCAGCTCATCAGTCAACAACACTAAGAAATGCGAATAGAGATAAAGCAGGGAGCAATTTTGTCCATGCCTTGGCAGAACTGTAAAACTATTCTTTAGCATGGTCGAAACCAGTGGTCTCTTCTTGAATACTACATCTATGCTCTTGCTGTGTTGACCTGGCTGCTTAGCTGAGCCCAAGGAGCTCAGAAAAGAAAAGCTCCTGTCTAATCTGAATATTCAAGTTAATCTCTTACCTTTCTACATTTCTTTCTAATGTGTCTTTCACAGGCGAAATCTACTAACGTGACTAGCTCAGCCTGTGCAACTGGCTATTTAAAGGAGACTTTTGCAGAGGATGTTCCTTCAAGAAGAAGGAAGATTATAGGGGGGACACAAAACAAGCAGGCAAAATCAACAATAAATGCTTATTCTTCTATACTTTGGTGATTAAAGGTATTTGAAAAGCCTGATTTAGCTTTTACAGCAAAGCAATTCTTGGAACAAAGCTGGAATGGTGGTAGAATTAGAGCAGATAAAAGTTCCCATGTGAATTTTTTTTTCCAGTTGCTCATTATCTCTGTCCCAGTGACCTTCCCACCACCTGGCGTGCAGCATGTTAATACTTTCTGGATGTGCTTCAAGAACTACTTTGCTGCAAACAGCTTCAGATTCTTGTTGTCAGTGTTAACTCAGGCACCAGCATGTGAATTATACTAATTGGTTGGCACTTGTTTCACAGCAATTTCCCCAAGGCCTTTTAAATAGCCCAGAACCATGCCACCAGCATCAGTCACTGATGGAGCAGTGAAGCAGGCAAAATAATCCTCCAAATAAGCAAATAAGCACTGGGACCACAAACACTGTTGCTTGTTGCCAGCAACATAGGCACTGTTCCTGCTAAGCAAACCTTCTGTGTCTTGAGTATTTCCCTGACTTCATTCTTCCTCCACAGGATTTCTTAATATGAGCTTCAGGAACAGTGGCACTGTTGCTTTCGTTAGTCAGCTGAGTCAGTCTTGAGAAAAATGAAATTGTCACCACAGAAGGTCATCAGGAAAGCTTTTGAAAACCACAGAGGTACCTTTAACCTGCTGTGATGATCAAAATGATAGTCTCTACTTTTCCACACACAGAAAGAAGTCCTGATCAAAGATACCCCTCAACACTTGTAGGCTTTATCTGGATTGATCTGACAAATTCTAATAACTCTTGGATACTGTGGGCATCATAGCTCACATCTCACAACACTCTCTCTCATCGGACTCATCAGCTGGGAAGGGTTATCTGGAATTAATTGGACCTGCTTTTAGAGGCATGGATCTGTCACTCATCTGTCTGTGAAATAGGCACCAAAGAAGCACTAACATCTGATATGAGAAGGCAAAGGCACTGCAGTGACCTTTTTGTATGACTAAGTGCTAAAAAACCCTCATCCATTTCCTAAACAAATTGGCAATAGAGAAAGGGCTGATGAGAAACTTCCCAGTTGCCAAAACAAGCTCCAAGACAAGCTGCACAGAAGTCCCTTTATATTTCTAATACAAAGAGGAAAAAAAGGAGGGCAATAGATTCAGAACTACAAATTCAAGTTATGTAATGGCAGGGGAGAAACGATCTGATCCTAGATAGGGAAAAAATTTTGGTTTGCCATAGAAATCAGCTGTGCTTCGTAAAATGAACATACTGGCAGCTACCACCTTCTTTAAACAAGATTAAGGATGGAAGTCTCTGTTGCTCTCCTTCGGTCCAGTTAAATCAGCTGCATGATAGGTGCAGCGGTGCTCTCAAAATCTGAAAGTACCTGTGGTCTATATACAGCTCCACTCTCCTGAGTCCTCTGTGTTACAGCAGCCATACTCCAATTAATGAGTGCTTCTCTACAACTAATCGCTGACTGGAAAGATTCAGGTCAGCTTTTGTATCCTCAAGCCTTGCTAGTAATACTGGAATGTTTGGAAGTCGAAGCCAGGGTCAGGCCCCCACTGTGTTAATACTCTGTACAGGCAAAACAAAAAAAAACATTTGTTCTCAAGAAGCTTAAATTCCTCTTAACCTTGGACTCTTGAGTGCAGTAGAAAGCATCTTCTGTAAAATCACGGAAAAAAAGGAAGTTTTTCAGTCTTCTGTTAAATAAAGTACTACTCCAGACACCAGCAGGTCAAAGTGAAAGGGAGCCTGACCCTAATGACTGCTACCTGGGGATTTCAGCTAGAACGTGCTGGAGGAAAAGGCTCAGCAGATTTTGTCAATGTCTTGTGTCAGAAACTGTCTAAAAGAACTAAAACTGGAATGGATATTCTCTAGATTAAATGCAGATTACAGTGCCTGTGGTCCCAACGTTCTACATTGGTTGAGACAAAAGTAAAGCTTTCAAGCTCTCTCTAGGTAAAGTGAACCTGGGATTTTAAACTTCTGTCCAAATTTTCCTTTAATGCCAGCTGCAAGTCCATTAGATAAACCGTGGAAAGGTGTAATTTGTATTCTCTGCACACCTTAGATTTTCCTCTCTTTTTGCGTCCAGGATGCATGTCCTAGTACAACCTGACTAAGAGCAAAAGGTGCTGCCCTGAAAGCTGTCAGCTGTTCTACTTGGAGAACCTGAAGCAAAAAAAAGTACAATCCTAAATTACTTTTCTTCTCAGATGCTGAAGGGATTACAGGCCAGATTCAGATCCATAAATGAGGTCTATTATAGAACAGTCAAAGGTGTCTCCTCTCTTCTTAACTGACTGCAATTGGTGGTTAACATGCCTGCAGCTGAATAAAGATGCATGAAAACATCTTG